AGGAGACTAGCAGGAAGAGGATCAAGCTCACAGGACTTTGACATCAGTTTACTGGAGAGTTTAGTTAGCTCATCAATAGTCACGGGAGAGAAAGAGTCCAATCTACACCTAGTTGTACTGGAGTCCAATTCAGAGACAACAAGAGTTGACATAGAATTTTCAGAAGTAGGAAAACCATTACGAATATATATATATTGCTTGTTAAACGTCTAGGTTAGTTCCTTTGTGTTTCGCTAAAATTTTCAAGATAAAAGTGAATCTGGCCAAGAAAATCCATCTTTAAGTTTATGCAAATGAACAGGATTCTGTATCTGATTTACAAAACTCTTCACGGTCGTGATTTTTGTTGTGTTTTGCTCATGAATTGTTAATGTATTTAATAATTAAACGAAGCAATAAGCTACTACAGTCATCCTCCTGTTGGCGGTTCGTATCAAGCTGCCGAATCGTCTCTTCAACAACAGAGGGCAAACTCTGCCGCCATTTTCTTTTCTTTTCAAAGGACAAATACGTGGCGTGGAGCTTAGAATGAATCAGCGACAATCAAGAATATAAAACATGAACGACAAATATAAAACACGTATGTTGAACCCTTGATGAAGCATATGAAATACAAGATGATAACATAAAAAAATTTACTCGAATGCAAAATTCATGTGATGAACTTCAAATACAAACCATCAATTTTGGCGGGGATGGAACTCCATAATCTATATCCAAGAACTCATTTCAGTGTATAAACCGAACCGTAATCTTCGTTCTGCATCACAAGTTCTTCTATCAGCACAKTCTTATAATCTTAAATCTTATGGTCATCGCTCCTTCTCTGAGCTGCCGGCCTAAACTAGTACTCTGGAACTCACTGCCAATATCTCTCCGAAATGTATTTGTAAATGATTTTTATTTTCGTTGTCTTTGTCTTTATCGTTTGTAATAATCCTTTTTACCAGCGTTTAGAACACATTTGTATTTGGGCTTTAAAAATAAATATTATTATTATTGCTTTATTCGGCTCTTCTCAGTTAATTACTCGTAATAAAATACAAGCCAGGTCTTTCAACCAACAAAGACCAACCAACCCAAGCAGTCCATTACACTTCTCTGACCGCGGAGACCACGAATCACCATTATTTTGAAGAAAAATTAAAGGAGATCATAAAGYTTCGAACGGGAAAGTTTAAACCCTGGAATGTGCCTAGCAAATTATTTATTTTCCTTCTTAAATCAAATAGAGTCTTAAAATAAATATTCCTATGTACCTCATGTTCCTTTGTGAGTAGACTTTGAAGCCAAAACAGTTAGTATTAATATATAAATGTAGGCTATAAGAATATCTATATTGTTAAGCTCAAGAGAATAACGACTGAAACCCTGTTCTCCTTATCGATCTTCGCTTGTTCGTGCAGAAAATACTGCTCGAGTAGATGAATCATGAAGAGTAAACCAAAACAAGCTATTGCTCATGAAGTTCATTGAAAATTCTTAGAAATAATCGCTTTGAAATCATCGATATCTTCTAGGCTTGAAATCCTTGTTTACCAAATTGATAAATTAATATTTTTAGTCTGTCGGCTGTCTTGAATTACAGCAGTCAACGAAATAGAGCATGCGTAAACCTCTGCCACGTGATCTGCTAGCTCCGCCTTCTCATTATCACTTGACAACATATTGACATTGATTGACATCTGGTACATTATTATTGATTGGACTATGGATAAGAGCCCCATAGCAGATGCCCGCAAAGGTCTCTTGGGTAAGTTCCTGAAGACCCCTTGATACTACTACGCAACTTTGCCATTTTGTCGTGAAGACAGGAAAAAAAGACATTTTAAGACTGTGATCCATAGGTATCCCAGTAAAAACCATTCAAGCCCATTTAAAACTGTCGACAAGCAGTTATGAAAATTCGATTTTGCAGTCAGACTAAACCCGGCCAGGCCTTGGAAGCTTCGGAAGGTTGTACACTGATTCTTACTATGATATCCCAAAGTTTAGTTGATGTAAGATTTTGGTACTGTTTCGGTTTTCGGTGTTTTGGTGTTTATCGTAACACCCTCTTACAGGTCTTATGAACACCCTCTTATGAATTTTAATTGTATCATATGAGCTATATTATTGGGTATCCGATGGCATCCACTCTAAACGAGTATAGTATGATATATACTTTAGGCCTAAATGCAGACCACCCGATAACATATAGCTCATATGATACAATTAAAATTCMTTGAATGACTTTTACTTACCAAAGCATAGGGGCTATGACGGAGTTTGTAATGCATACTGTCGTGCATTGAAGACAATAACAAAGGTTCTCCGAAACGAGTAAAACAACACCAACTCGAGTGAACTTCTAAACGATTCTCTTTATTGCTCAACACGTTTCGTGCTTATAGCGCGACAGTCGTGACGTCATACACGACCTGTCAATATAC